TTTTTGTTTTGTTTTGTTTGTTTTGTTTCAGGTGTGCGGAGGAAAGAGCCGCTTTGAGAAGCTCATGGAGTATTTCTGCAACGAGGACAGCAACTGGACTTCATGGTAAACCTCTGACGGGGTCACAAAACTGCATGTTGGCTTAATCTCTTAACAATCAGTGAAATGATTATAAGAATCGTTTCCTCTCTCTGTGTTACCTGTGATAAGTACAAGATGGGACCCGAGGAAAGCATTTCTAGTCTTAAACTCAAAAGTTTTTAAGATCTTTGGGACTTACAGCCACAGTTAATACAGACGCCTCATTCCTGACAGCCTCTCTGTAACATGATGATGTTTTGACTCGTCCTGCTGCTTTACAACAAGCCCTGCGGGTCAGTCTGTGTTGTCCCCTCCTCGTTTATCAAAATGGTTAATCAACACGGTTTCCTTTTTCTTTAACTTGAAGTAAATCAGTACACACTGTCGAACACTCATCATCAGTTTCTGAAGATTTAGGGAGCTTTTATTGCGTTCATAAAGAAGGAGAGAAGTCAAACTGGGAACTTTGAGAATCTGGACTGAAGACAGTTTTTTTTAACTCATCAATAAAAATAAAATCACTTGATTATCAAAATTCCTGTCTAATAATTCAATGATTAATGAAATAAGAAAACTCAGATCTGATCAACCCAATTTAATTATACCTCTTTAATATGATTTAATAATTAATTATTAATATAATCACTCTTAAAAAAATAAATGTATGGTTACATGTATTTTCCCTGTGTGACCACCAGGTGGCCTGCATGCAGTTCATCAACATCGTGGTCCACTCAGTGGAAAACATGAACTTCAGAGTTCACCTGCAGTACGAGTTCACTCATCACGGGCTCGACGAATACCTGGAGGTGAGTTTCACCTTCAAGTGAGGACGTTTTAGATTTCATGAAGTTTAAGAACAGCAAAGGTGGAGGAATCAAACAAACCAAACGAACATTCAGTTTGTGCACTTTTAACCTGGGAGTGTGTGTGTGTGTGTGTGTGTGTGTGTGTGTGTGTGTGTGTGTGTGTGTGTGTGCGCGTGTGCACGTGCGTGCGTGCGTGTGTGTGTGTGTGTGTGTGTGTGTGTGTGTGTGTGCGTGCGTGTGTGTGCGTGTGTGCGTGTGCACGTGCGTGTGTGTGTGTGTGTGCGCAGAAGTTGAAGTTCACAGAGAGCGACAGGTTGCTGGTTCAGATTCAGGCGTACCTGGACAATGTGTTCGACGTTGGCGCTCTGCTGGAGGACGCCGAGACCAAGAACGCTCTGCTGGAGCACATGGAGGAGCTGCAGGAGCACAACACTCAGGTGGAGATCTACTTTGTTGATCACCTTTCATAAAACAGTGAGTCGATGTGTATCTCAACTTTCTGCTGTCCTGTGATAGTTGAGCTGCAGACTTCAGGAGACGGAGAAGGAGGCGATGGAGAAAACCTCGGACCTGGAGAAGAAGCTCATCCAGACGACTAAAGAGGTGGAGCTGCTGAAGGTAGACTACACCTCCTTCAAACACACATCCATCACAGCTCATGTGCACTTAAAGCTACAGACACACAAACACAGAAACGTTGATGTGTCCTCGTTGCGTTTACAGGAGAGTCTCCGGGAGTCGTGCTCTCAGGTGAGTCTCCTGCAGCAGCGGGAGCGAGAGAGGGAGCTTGAGCGAGAGAGGGACAAAGAGAGGGAGAGAGACCAGGACAGATCGGTTCAGGCCCTGAAGGAGCTGGAGGTCAGAGTTCAGGATCTGGTGGAGCAAGGGCTGGTCCGCATGGAGCGCTCCTCCTCGGGACGCCTGGAGGTTCAGGTGGTCCCCGTTATCCAGCACGAGTCACAGAAGGGTAAGAAATACATATCCTAAAACAAATACTGAAAAATAATAATAAATACTGCATCCTAACATTTTTGGAGGCTAAAGTCCTCCAAGCAAGGCGGCCCGTAAGGGGGGGGGGGGGGGTCGGCGGTCTCTTCTTTAAGTGATCGTTGTTCTTCTTTCAGCTGAAGATCATTCAGATAAAAACCACGAGGTCGTGACCTCCTCCTCCTCAGACACTCAGCCCGACCTCACTGATGTTCCTCTGCAGTCGACGATAGTACAAGCTCCGCCTCCTCCTCCACCACCACCTCCTCCTCCTCCTCCACCTCCAGCCTCAACTCCAGCTCCTCCCCCTCCTCCTCCTCAAGCAGTCGCTCCGCCTCCTCTGCTGCTTGTGTCTGATGGGAGCTCAGGTGAGTGCACTGCAATAAACAGACGTTATGAGAGGGGATGTGTTTGTGGGTAGAGTGTTGGTAGAGTTGGTCTTCACTCGACTGGAAGGTCGGGGGTTCAAATCTCCAGCTCCTTCAGCAACATGTCTGATGTGTCCTTGGGCAAGACACTTAACCCCAAGTTGCTCCTGCTGCTTTTGAATGTGTATGAATGGATGAGTTAATACTGATGGTCTCTTCACACAGCAGCCTCTACCATCAGTGTGTGAATGTGGAGGTGTGACCTGCGGTGTGGAAGCGCTTTGAGTAGTCAGAAGACGAGAAAAGAACGACACAAGCTCATATAAAATTATAATTTAATTATTTCTCTTGTAGGTTGTAAAAAAAAGAAGCCCATTCAAACCAAGTACCGGATGCCGCTCCTGAACTGGCAGGCGCTCAAATCCAACCAGGTGGCAGGAACCATCTTCAACGAGCTCGACGACGAACACGTCTTAGAGGTTTGAAACCAACGTTTTCCTCTCTACATTATATATTTTTTTAAAGTGTTTCAATCACTCTAAACAAAAAACCCCACACCGTTCAGTCTCTACATGTTTTTCCCCGTTCTCTTTTCTCAGGAGCTGAACATGGCGGCCTTTGAGGAGCAGTTTAAGACCAAAGCTCAGTCCTCTCCTGTAGAACTGGGCACCCTTAAGATGAAACGGGCCCATAAGACCCCCAGCAGGGTGTCTCTGATGGAGGCCAACCGGGCCAAAAACCTGGCTATCACTCTGCGTAAGGAGGGGATGGCTGCGTCCGACATCTGCTGTGCGATAGAGACGTACGTACCCCAAAACTCACCGACCAGAACATAATGTGATTCTGAAGCAGGTATAATAATGAGATGTTTATCTCTACAGCTACAACCAGAGAGCTCTGAGTCTGGACTTCCTGGAGCTGCTGGAGAGATTCATCCCCACGGAGTACGAGACGAAGCTCATCCACAACTACGAGTGCGAGGGCAGGCCCCCTGGACGAGCTCAGCGAGGAGGACCGCTTCATGGTGCGCTTCAGCAAGATCCCGCGCCTCTCCCAGCGAATCAGCATGCTCACCTTCATGGGCAACTTCCCCGAGAGCGTAAAGACAATACAGCCTGTGAGTTCACCTGGGGGGGAGGGGGGAGGGGGGGAAATGTCAAGCTTTAAACATTCTCACAGATGACGCTGAATGCAAGTTAAAGGTACATTTTAGAAAACTAGCTGCACCCGCCCCCCTCCCCTCTGTGCTCCCTCTAAAGCCACGCCCCCTCACTTACATGCACGAGCGCCGTCGCTCCAGAAGCGGACCTCAGCTCGTGTTTTGAGTGTGGGCTCGTGAACGCAAGAAGGTAGAGAACGAGCAGGGAGGCGTCTGATTGGTTCATCAGATTGGTACCTCGTGGCAGACATTGGTTGAAGTTTTTACAGACTTACAAACTGATACAGATGATGGATTTTCTTTGTTCCTTTTTCAGAGAACATGAGTTATTAATTTCTGTCAGGACCTAAAGACAGTTTACACCAGAATCTTAAAAAGTGAATCAGGAGGAAATGATGAACAACCCTGCCTTTAATGTTTTCCGTCGTTTATAATCTGTTTAGTTTGGATCTAAGTTGATTTAAATAAAAATAATAATCCGTTTTTAACTCTCTCTGGCAGCAACTGAACGCTCTTATCGCTGCTTCCATGTCGATCAAATCCTCCAGCAAGCTGAAGAAAATCCTCGAGGTGAGTCCACAAATGTTTTACGATCATCACGAACACGATGTCGAAAAAGAAAAAACAGCCGATGTCTGAGTTTTCGTTCTGCATATTGTTCTGTTCTGTTTGTGGTGTTTTTAGATCATTTTAGCGTTCGGGAACTACATGAACAGCAGCAAACGAGGAGCGGCGTACGGTTTCCGCCTGCAGAGTTTAGATCTGGTGAGTCAAAAACTCTCACATGAATCAGTTCACTTCTTCAGTTCACCAGGAGTTCAACCGGCTGTGGAACTTTTCTTTACTTTATCTCAGAATTCTTTGATGTCTGCGTGATGTTTTTCTGTTCAATGACTTTTTTTCAATCGACAGCTCTTAGACACTAAATCCACAGACCGCAGACAGACGCTGCTTCACTTCATCGTCTGCAAAATTCAGGAGAAATACCCCGAGCTCCAGACCTTCTACAGCGAGCTGCACTTCCTGGACAAGGCGGCGCTGGGTGAGCAACATGAACATGAACACAGGTTGACTGTAGTAGGAGTTTTAATTTAAAGGATCAATCAGTGAGATGTGTAGTGAGGTAAGGAGAGCTGGATAAACACTGAAGCTTCAGAATCCACCACATGGTGACCTGCGTGAGCATCCACTCTGGGGGGGGGGCGCTCTACAATGTTTACAATCTGGACGGCAGTACCCATTTTAAACACTAGGGGTCAGAGTTACATGTTAGCTGTTCTTTAAAGAGCATAATCTGCTGTGTTCCTCCAGCACTGAAATCTCAAAAGAAAAACTAAATAAAACAACTGAAGATCGTTTTAAACCAGAGGAGCAGTGAGTTTTAGAGTGGGCAGGAGTATGATGCATGAAACAAAAGTTACATTTTATAATTTGTTTGCTGATGTTTGCTAAATAATGCACTGACTCCTCCCTCTGTGTGAGTGTGTGTGTGTGTGTGTGTGTGTGTGTGTGTGTGTGTGTGTGTGTGTGTGTGTGTGTGTAGTTTCTCTGGACAGCATCCTGCAGGACGTGCGCTCTCTGGAGAGAGGTCTGGAGCTGACCAGCAGAGAGTTGTCGGTGGAAAAAGATAATCCAGTCCTGCAGACGTTCCTGAGCAGCAACACAGAGCTGCTCAGCTCTCTCATCGCCGACGGGAAAACAGCCCAGGTCAGAAATAACCCAAACCTGAATCACACATTCTGTACTTAAACACAGACTTCTAAAGATCATTTCAATAATTCTACATCTGATTTTTCTCCTGATCTGACGTATATGTTGCTCTTTTCTCGTCCCTCTTCCAGGACGCGTACGACTCAGCCGTGGAGTACTTTGGGGAGGACTCTAAAACCACTCCGCCCTCCGTCTTCTTCCCGTTTTTCATCCGCTTCATTAAAGCGTACAAGGTCAGATTACTCCCTCTTTACTGACTCCTGACGGTACAGATAACAGATAAATGTAAAAGCCAATCAGGCGGCCCCGCTGAGCTCATGTTTGACCTTCAGATGTTCAAAAGATACCGTTACAAACACTTTCTGTTCTCTGACAGCAAGCTGAGCAGGAGAACGAGCTGAGGAAGAAACAGAAAGGCGTTCAGACTGAAGCTCCGCCGACGCCGCCCAAACCTGAAGACACCAGAAACAAGGTGACTAAATATAAAGTGCAAAATCCTGCAGTTCATCAAGTGTCCACTAGAGGCTGGCTGCAGAAGCACAGGAAGTCACATACACACCCATTCTAAAAAGCCTGTTTTTATCCATAGTTAGGCGTGTAGCTGACCTGATTGACAGGTGGGCGCGGTGTAACGGTTTGTCAGGAGGTTTAAAACCCGCCTCAGCTCCAGCTCTCAGCCTGTCGTTAGGTTGACTGAAAGTTAGACTGAGACAGCATTTCCAGCATGGCGGCTGATGAGCCTCCAGCGCCCCCTGTAGGACCAGACGGGTGACGTCACTCAGGCTTCAAACATTCATAAAGCAAAGCAGGAAAACCAAACATGTTTACACTTCTGAGGATCAAATCAGGAGTAATCTGAACCTTCCTGTCCGAGTTATCCTCCAGCTTCTTCAGGTGGGAAGTTAAAGATTATAAGGACAGTCTGTTAGAAACACTTGAATCTTAGTATTTATTATTAAAGTGGAAATATATTTATAAAAACATGAGGGGAAAGAAAATATGTAGAGTAAACGACCTGTGGGTTTTTCTTAATCAAAGACAAAAATATGAGAAATTTATGTGACGGAGAGTTACGGCCACATAAAAGAAACAATCAGAGATTTAAAGAATTAAAAACGTAATATTACGAGATAATTGTCGTAAATTAACAAAAACATTTCAAACAAAAATGTAAGTCCTTATTTCATGATATCAAGGTCAAAGGTCAAAGGTATCTTCATTGTCCCCACAGGGAAATTTGTTTGCAGCCGGAACTACACAATACATAGACTACACAAAGAAATAATCCAGCTGACATTAGGTCTCAAATTTACCAGAATAAAGTCGTATTATTACAAGATTATTGGCGTAAATTAACAAATTTAAAGTCCTTACTTTACGAGATTAAAGTCGTCATAACTGTTCGGTTATGATCCGTTATTAAAAGCCTAAGAAGACTAAGGTGTTTTCTTCCAAAGGTCAAAGTAAGTAAAAAATACTGGTGCAGTGTTTACTGATGATAAGTGCTCGCTCATGGAAGATTAAAGCTGGATGTCTGTGAATAAGAAACCGTAGAACAAGACGAGATAACGATGATTATTTATGATTAGTGTTAAAAAACAGCAGATGTGAGTTTAAATGAAAATCATGTTTGTAGAAATGAAAAAAGTCCACGCAGAAATATGAGGGAACAAGTTTCAGAGACTCACAGAAGAATTAATAAACAGACACACACACACACACACACACACACACACACACACACACACACACACACACACACACACACACACACACACACACACACACACACACACACACACACTGACTGAAGGTGTAACTAATCATGGTGCCTGAGCTGCAGGTTTGTTTACAGCCCGTCTGATCGTCTGTCTGCTCGTATTTCTAACCCGCCGTCGTGTTATTATTACCCCGAGGAGCGGTGCAGTTTGTCGTCTGCAGATTGTAAAACACTCAGAGGCCGATCTCCGGAGCGGTAACACACACACACACACACACACACACACACACACACACACACACACACACACACACACACAGCGAGTCACAACATGTTCGATGTTTCAGGTGTGTGTGACTTCCAAACCGCCTCACATGGATCTGATCGCCGAGCTGAAGAAGAGACAGGTGACCCCTCTGGTGAGGGAGGGGAAGGACGGGGCGATCGAGGACATCATCACAGGTACACAACACCTGAGACACACACACACACACACACACACACACACACACACACACACACACACACACACACACACACACACACACACACACACACACACACACACACACACACACACACACACACACACACACACACTAAATACACACTAAATACACACACACACACACACACACACACACTAGATACACACAGTTTTATCATAACTGATGGATTCATAATTTGAGGATATTCCGGTTCCTTCCACGCGCTCTGAGGTGTTTTTTTAAAAAAGGGCGGCTGTGGCTGAAGGTCGGGGGTTCGATCCCCAGCTGCTGCAGCCACACGTCCGATATGTCCTTTAGCAAGACTCTCAACACCAAGACCGCAGCCTGTACAGACTGTGGAAATTGGCAGTTTGAGTTATTGTGTATTTGGCTCATTACTGCCCCCCTAAGGTCAATCACTGCTAAGACACCCAGTAGAACCTCACAGATTTTAGAAGGTGTTTTTCTCCACAGTGGCCACAAGGGGCGACACTGAGCAAACTTTTAAAGGAAACTAAAAACAAAAGACTGTTTTTATGCTAAGCTAAGCTAACTCAGGCTTGATTTCAGATTTCTCTTTCTCTGAGAGGACACAAATTGTTTTTGTTTTTACATTTGTAGCACTCTGAGCTTTTATTCTTTATGTTTTGTTCTCAACATTTTGATTTCCCTTCAAAAGAAGTTGATGTAGCTCTTTTAGTGTTTTTTGTTTCAAGAGGATTTTATTTGTTTCCTCTCTTAGCGTGTTTGTTTGTTTTCATCCTTCAGTTAATCTCCTGTCTCTGCTTTTCTAAACATGTCACCTCGTTTTACTCTTCACTCCTCCTGTCTCTCTTTGAAGGCTAATCTCACTTTTCCTGTCCTCCTCGCTTTTTTTGTCCCTCCTCTCTTCCCGTCTCTTCAGCTCTAAAGTCCGTGCCCTTCACGGCTCGCTCTGCCAAACGCTCCTCTCGTCTCTTCTGTGACTCCGTCTTCAGCGAGGAGGTGACGTCTTTAAATCCCTCACAGCTCTGTTTCTCTGCCCGCTCTGCTGATGATTCTTTTTCCACAAGCTTTTCTTGGAGTGTAACAGATTTATTTCTTTATCTTTAATGAGTCGGGAGTGAAACATGATGTTCTTGTGCACCTGATTTAAAGGTTATTTTAGTATTTATTTTTAAAGCACAAAAAAACGAGACCTACTCCAGTCAAAGCTGACACTGAATGTAGCTGGAGATAATCTGTTTTTGCATTTAAAGGAGCAGTATGTAACTCTGACCTAGTGTTTAAAATGGGTACTGCAGTCCAGATTCTAAACATTGTAGAGAGCTGTCTCCCCCCCCCCTCCTCTCTAGAGTCGATGCTCACTCAGGTCACCATGTGGTGGACTCTGAAGCTTCAGTGTTTATCCAGCTCTGCATGGGTCTGTAAACCTTTCTGTGTTCTAACCTCTCTCCATTTTTCAAAAGCATCTCCAATATTGATCCTAGTTTGAGCACGTTTCTGCTCGTGGAGCTTATTAGAAACATGCAGAGGCTTTTTAGCTAGTCCTCCTTTTTTCAGCTGATGTGAGAACGCAGCAGGGGGTGGTGACCTTTATTCCCTGTGATCGCTGCACGACCATAGACTGTCTGCACGATCTCCATGCTCTAATTAAACGGCTGCATTATGTTTAAAAGTTCCTCATTGACTAATATTACCTTTCAGCTCAGGTTGTTAAGTTCTCTTAAAGATACATCATTTGACTTTTTCAAGGAATCCACATCTCAATAAGAAAAAAAATGACTCCCAGGATTTAGTCAGTAGCAGACCATCGAGTGCTCGAATAGTTAAAAGTCAACTTTGAAAATGTAACTTTCATGAATCTCTTTAAGGTTGCATGTGTTGATTTGCTGTTTAGAAGAAGTGATTTGTGTTTTCTTGAATACCTGAGTATCTTTCAACGTCCTCGCTCTTTGTCTTCAGATTTAAGGAATCAGCCGTACAGACGGACGGACGGCAGCCGGCGCAGCACCAAGTGGAAACCAGGACAGCAGCTCCACGTGTCCTCAGACATCTCCCTGTGAACAAAAAAAACGAACACAACAACAACTACACACAAAGCACAAAGCGCCGCCATAAACTCACCACAGCAACCGGCTCGTCGTCTCCTGCATGCTGAAGCCTGCAGACGTGAGCCTGCACGAGATCACACAGAGACGCTCCTTCCTGATGAATTAGAAACTGATGATTGTAGAGAGGATCTGTGATTTAGACAATCAGATATAAGAGAGGATATTATCTGCTCTCAGAGATAACCACGCCGGCTGTCATACGAGCTCGTTAAGACGATTAAATGTTCGGCAGAGACGCCGCCGCTCGCCTCAGAGTGACTCTTCAAAGACGTCAAACTTTGATGGACGGAGCGCCGCTCATAAATCATTTTGATCGTTTTCTTTAAAAAAAAGCTCCACACATGATTTTTTAATTGGTTTTATTTGAAGTAGATTATTAATCGAGCTGTCCGTCGTCCCGTCCTCGAGGAAACCTCAAATTCAGGCTGAAGATTTGTAATATATTTAAATTATTTTTACTACTGAGGCGTAATGATGGAGAACTTCGACTGTGCTTCTGCATTTCAACTAATAAACCATTTTATACCGTCACCACGTGTGTGTCTCTTTACTTTATATTTTTACTTTGTTTCCATAAAGTCTGTCCTGTTACATCAAAATGCTAACATGCTAACATCCTTATTTGAAGCTCAGATATACCGACTAACACACCTTTAAGTCTTCAAATAAGACCATGTGTGTCCCCATATGTTCACCACATTACTGTTTACAGTTTAGAGGAAAGAGAGAGGACCCGGGCGGAGATTATACTTTCAACACTTAGGAAAGAGAAGTGACCACATTACACCTGTCGCTGCTTCCCTTCATGGCTCCCTGTGAGTTTTAATATTGCTTTCAGGATGTTATTGACAGTTTTTATAAAGCCTTTAATGGCCAAGCCCCGCCCTTTTTGTTTGATCTGCAAAGGCTGGTTACACACTCGACCATTTAAGGCCTGATGGGGGCGGAGCAAACAAACACACAGGTGGGGAAATTAAGGAAAGTAAAACTACTAATGCAAGCTGAGGCAAGTGAACAGGGGCGAGTGGCCGAGTGGTTAGGGTCAGTGGATGTTGTCCTCAAAGCGGGCAGCCCGGGTTCAACTCCGACTTATGGCTCCTTTCTTGAATGTCAATCCCCCATAATTTCCTGTTTCACATTTCCTTCCGCTGTAACAAGCTCCAACTTTTGTTTCATTTGCACACAAAAGAAAAAGATTTAAGTTTCTTCAAAGGAGAATTAAAAACTACTTTTTCAACACCTGAGCTGCAAGTTAGCGTCACAACATTTAGATGTGGTGTAAGAGAGTCTGCAGAGAGGAAGAGGAACAGCTTCATACCTGAGAGACACTTTCTTTAAAAACAGAGAATATGACGTTTAAACCCTCACTGAGGTTTTTTCTCCTTTTTCAGAAACTGACTACAGCGGACAAAAACAGAAAGTGTTTCTCTGCCGGTGACCTTTTCACCCCGCAGATCTTCAATCGATCAAAGCGAGGAAACAACACAAACACAAAGACACAATAACAGAGACTTCTTTCCTCCTGAGATCTGCTCTCGTATGAGCGGTTATTCCTCCTCATCCCGACTAAGACATCCTGAGCTCGGAGGGTTTTCTGCATCGTGTCTTCATCTGCAGATATTTTCTCCTGCTGTTTAAGAACCATGAATGGATTAACCGCTAATAGGCAATATTAATTACAGATTTATGTTTTTCCTCGACATGAAACGACGGGTTAATTAACAGATTATAAAACGGAGAGCTTTTTCAATAATCTGACTCAGTCATTAAAAGCAAGAAGGCAAAAACACAGATTCAATTTTGTTGGTAAATATCCTGTTTAAGTTATTTTTCAATCACATATTCTCCTCCTCTTCCTCAGTTTAAATAAGTCTCAGAGCTCCTCAAAACGTGTGTGTGAAGTTTCTTGTTCTAAATCCACTCTGATCCTGTATTTGATCATGTCTATAAACCCCTCTATTTCAGCCCTGCTCAGAACAGACTGTTTCTGTGTCTGTACCTTTAAATATGTAAATGAGCTGTGTCTGACCACGCCCCCTCTCTAGAAGGACTTGGGTGTACTCGGTCTTTCTCGCTCCATGTCCTATTGTTTACGGCAAGAAGGCAGACTCAGAGGGCAGAACAAACACCTAGCTGTGGGAGTGTCACCCACCTGGGGGAGGGGCTACTGCCCTTTGTGATGTCATGAAGGGAAAATTTCCAAACAGCCTGTTTGAGCACACATTTTCTGAAAAGTGGAGCAGGTAAAAGGCGTAGAGGATGGACTTTTCTCATCATGGGGGGTTTGTAGACGGAGTAGAGACACATGTTAGAGTTAGAGAAACATGGAGAAGAGTGTGTACAGAATTTGTGACCTTGGAAGATTTCAATCAAAATAAGACATTTAAAAACATATATTGCTCCTTTAATTAAGTATATTCAAAGATCATGAAAATGTTTTTATGCTCAGCTAACAGTGAAGATTTTTACTTTAATTGATTCCCATTAGGTTTCATTTTGTACAATTAATTTTTATTTTTAAAGCAGCTCTATTCCCAGCAGTTGTTTTGAGTCGTGGTTCGCTGACGGTCTTCAGGGTTTCCTCAGTGAAACCAGAACTCGTTGCGCCTCCTCTCTCGTCCTCTTCAGCTCCTCTGTGATTGTTCTGCTTTGTCTCGCTGCTTCTTCAACACCGGAGACAAACTGTGACAGATCCGAGGCCCTCTGAGAGTCAATCAGAGTTCTTTCCAGCGTTGTCACGGACACCAGAGTGTTTTCCATTTGTGCGGCTACACCGCGCACGCCGTCGCTGTCGTCCACTTTCTCGCCCATCGACTTGATCGCCTTCATCTCTTCCATCAGAGGTTTGATGGTCTCTCTGAAATCTCCCGCGGTCTCCTGAATCACTCTCATGTTCTCCGACTTCTTTTTCTGTCTTTTTGAGTCTTTGGAAAAGCGACCGAAGATGCTTCCCACTAAGTAGCTCGCAAATCTTGTTGCGTACAACCCGCCAAAAGCACCGCCGACCGCTCCGCCCGCAGCGCCGACCGTCCCGCCGAAAATACCTCCGATTGAACCTCCGGTCGCACAACCGATGGTGAACCAAGCCACATCGCTGACGACGCCGTGAAGCGGACTCTCAGATCCTCCCGCTGCGGCGCCAACTGCTCCTCCAACAGCGCCACAGAAAACTCCCCCGACCACGCCGCCCAACACGCTGCCCAGGAAGCCCACAGTCGCACCGACTGCGCCAATTTGACCACAAATCCTGGTGAACGTTGCCGCACTGACGGCGCCCAGGAAGCCCCAAACTCCTCCAGAAACGACCCCGCACGTTGCTCCGAGAGCGCCTCCAAACACGGTGAACACGACCCGCACCGGCTTGTTCTCCGGAGCGCCCTCTCGGAGGCGAGTAGCCGTCAGCGTGAAGCTCTCGGAGACTCTCAGGAGACGATCTCTGCGTTGGCTGTAGAGGCAGGAGAACGCCGTTAATCTAGCGATGAGTTCGTCCTTAATGTTCGTCTGAGGGAGGAAAACTCTGTAGGTCGAAGAGCCGCCTTCAAAGTCAAATAGATCGTCCATCTTCAGAGACGATCTTCACAGAAGTCCATCAGAGGATCGACGAGCGGCGAGGTCAATCTCACTCACCAGAAGTGCTCATCAGGGACGGGAAGGTTTTCTCTTTTCTGCCTGTGTTTGAAAAACAGATAAAAGTTTAAAATAATCAACATGAACAGATGGAGAACAAAACATTTATGTAAAAAGGTTTTCCCTTTTTAAATCAGAGTTTTTAAGTAATTTAAAGTCAACAAATGTGAAAGTCTACTGAAGCGTTTTGCATTCACTTGAGGAAAAGTGAGTTTTTTTCCCCCTCCATTTTTCTGAATTACCAAAATAAAACCCGACAGGAGCTCTCATTTAGGCCACTTAAGGAAGCAAACCTTACCCGACTGGTTTGTCTCTTCTAGTTTTATTTCATAATCCTTATGTTCTTATTAATACAGAAACAACTGCTTCTTTTTTCCCAGGAATAATTCTTAAACTGAGCGTTTATTTCTTTAAGATAGAGTCAGTTTGTTTTTCCTTCAAAATAAAATACAGATGAAGCTGCTCCATTGTCCCTTCTGGGCCTCCGTACATGTGTGGTGGTGACTGTGTCTGCAGAGACTCTGTCCTCTGACTGGATTTTACTGTTCTGCTTTGGTCTGGTTGACTCGGGACATTTCTGGGCGGAGCTGGTGTGTTTCCTCCAGCCAATGACAGCGCAGAAGGTGATTTTAGGAGTGGATACAGTTCAGTGATTGGACGAGATTCAAACCGGTGAATATGATGGACGTGCACGTAGCAGCAAAGAATAGAAAATATAATGAGAGTGAGGAGAAACACCAAGCGCATAAAGCTTGTTCTAAAACGAGGGTGAACCTTGTGTTGTCTTTTACCCGTGGACGTGGAGTTGGTCTACTTCCTGTTGGACAGGAAGGTGACAAACACAGGCGGTTAGCTTGTGCTAGCGTGCATTATCTTGCAGTGTAGGAACAAGCAGTAAACGTACACACTACATCCTGCAGGGGGCGGAGCTTCTGGGGGTTGTTAAAATAAATAACATCTATTGTCTTACTAAAAATCAATTAAACTATTTATTCAAGTCTAAAACCTTTTTCCCAACATTTAAAAAGTGCTGTTAAAGTTCATGATCGTGGCACTTTTGACCCTCCATACAAGCTGTGTCAGGAGGTTGTGTTAAACGGACATGACTCTTTTATTACATGCTCTAAAGTTATTCCAGTTTGGGAAGTTTTATGATCTCAACTTACTACTGCCGCAATCGTCTTAATCGTTTTCACAAACCCAAAGATGACTTTAGAAGCTCTGAGAGAAACATGCAGGACTTTAATCCTGTTGAATATCAGTGAGTGAAGCTGCAGCTCTGACTTGTTTCAGTAGATTCAGACGAGTGTTTTATCTTTTTGTACTTACAGTCAGTCGACTATTCCACCAGCTTCTGTTTCTTCAGAGACGACCTGCTCTCCTTTTTCTCTCCAAAAATAAAGTTCTCACTCAGACGCAGGCTGAGTAAACGGTCTGCTCGGTCTGATTTGCTCAGAGGACAAAGATCAGGAAGTGAAGCCTTGAGAGCATGAGGGCGGGGCCTCTGCTGTTAATCACTTCCAGGTACCTCGAGGGGACAACAGGAGACACCAGACGAGTGCAAAAGGGCTCGATTTATTATGACAACAAAGAAAAGATCAGACATGTCCAAACTGTAATCTGCAGACTGGGAGGTGATGTTTGTGCTCTGGAGGGTCAAACTGTAATAAAAGTAAAAACACACCTTCACTGATTAGAACCCTGTGAAGGTATTACTGCTGGAATCTGCTTGTGCACGTGTCCGTCCAAACCTGAGCGTTAAAATGATTTTAAACATGCTGATAGCATGACATGGCCTGAAGGTCGATATTAAGAATGTAAAAAGAAACAGAGACATAAATAAATACATATTCTCCAAATTGAAGCTTCGAGTCCATGACATCTTAACAATAAGGTGTCTCGTA